CATTGCAACAAACACATCATCATTTGCTTAAAAAGAGTTATAATTACAGTTGACGAAGCATGGACACCATAAAAAATGCATTAGTTTGGCTTGACACATTAATTACCTGTTTTTGCAGATGTTTTTATATATTGTTGTGTGAACAGTTTACAAAATAATTACAGGAAAGTCATATGGAAAATAAACTAAGTGGGTGGTTTCTTGCCTTAATATTTTCATTCATGTGAATCTGTGTGAGGCGCAGCTGCTCTGTCACAAATGCAGAGGGGGAGAGAGAGAGAGATGGGGAATCTTGAGGGGTTTTTATTCTGAGGTCTCTATGATCAGCCTTGCTGCACTTTTATACTGCTTTAGCAGTCCAGTTTTTAAACGTGTAAAATGACATTGCTGATTTAATCCCAGCGATCAGGAGGGGGGAGAAGCTTTGATCCTGATCAGATGAAACATAAATCTTCTAGTATCTAGGAAAATAAATGAAAAATCAATATTATTTTAAGCAGGATGATCTTTTATGAGCAGTTGTAAAGATTCATCAAAGGCTTTGACACAGTTTAAACATTTCCTGTTTGCTGCCATTTAAAGAAAAATGCCTTTCAAGTTTAAATTGTAATTAGAGAGATACATGTTTAGATTATTGTGGGCTAACCATGGAATGGAAAGAGGAGCTCAATATGCTCACACAATGTTTAGAGCAAAAGTTCTTGACTGGGAATAAATTATGGTTCCTAATTTCTTATAAAATAAAATTGATTCTTTTGAGAAGTACACATTTTGTGTAACTAGAACCCATGGCAAAATGTAACATTGCATTTTAAAAGAAATAATGTGTGAAGTCTGCATCACAGCTTTAACATCTGTCAGATATAAGGATTTGTTCTCATACTGTGTTTTAGTGATTTATTTGGTTTTAAGTGAAGAGTTCTATGACCTCGAATTTGGCATAAATGCTAAAGATTATATTTAGTTTAATGGGGTCTTTATTGTTACTCACTGTGTTTGAGTCTTTTTAAGTAGCATTGATTTGTTTATTAAATTCATAGCCTGTATTTATTTACAGATTTTTGTAGAGATATTGGCTGTCTAAATGGGAATTTGTATTGGAATGTGGTTTTTTGTTTTCTTGATTAAACTAGTGCAAAGAACAAAAAGCCAAAATCCTATTTCATAAATCCAATTCTCAAATATCCACCTGTTAAAAGTATTCAGGGACTGAACTGTCGAGGATCTTACTCACAAAGAAGATGCAAGAACTTGTTGAATAAATGTTGTTTTGTGAATCCACACCCTCTTTTATGGCTGAATATTTTAATGAGGGAACAGTTTGCAAATGTTATTTAACAAATTACTCAGGAAGGAGAAGTAGAAGGAAAACTGAAATTAATGTCTTGTGAAAGTAGGGAGAACAAAGACTGCTCTAAGGGGACATCCTAGCTTGTTTGCGTTAATTACTGTAAAATTACTGAAGCATTGAAAAAAAGGCAATAAACATTCAAACTAAATACACATAACTAACAATTAAGCAGTAAGCTTGACTTTTATAATCGCCTTAGACACTAACCTAGCAGTTTTCTATCGGTCTGCTTGAAGGAAATGCTGGCTGAAGAGTTTATTGTTGCTGTGCAGATGTCTTGATTTCTCTGAGCGACTGCCATGATGTGTCTTGAGAGAACGCTGGGAGCTCACCAGTGGATCAGCACAGGCAAGATTTATGGTGCATTAGCATTAAGTGTAGAGATGAAAGCAGGAGAGTGAGTAATGTTTTAAGAAATTGCAACACACACATGAAAGAGTTACTGTGTATCTATTCTCTTCTGATAAAGCCAACTTCAAATTAGGACAATTGAGTGATGATGTGGGGAGGGAGTTTGGTTTTGTTTTTAAAATCCTAGATGGGAATAAGGGTGGCAGTCTTACCAGGGGGAATTTCACCAGGGGTGTCCTACCAAGGAGAGACTGATACTGGATGTGCTGGATTTGATACAAAGTCTCCTCTGTCTTTAGAATGTGAAAAATTATTGAGAAATTGATACATATCCATAATAATCATATGCTGAAAATGTGGGGGGAAGTTCTGACTGTCCAGCTTCTTCCCAAACCATATGTAGTCAGAGGTGTTTGCAGAGCAGGGCTCTGTGTCTATGACCAAGGAGGTGACAATAACTTTTCCCTCCTGCTGTGAAGTGGATAGTCAGATTTACAATAGGTCACTTATGGCAGAACTTGGAGTAGATCATAAGTCTCTTCTGCTTATTCTCAGTAGGGTCTGTGTGTTTAGGTAGTCTCTAGTCATGATATGAAAGGAGGGGAGTCTTTAATTTATAGCAAGGTCAAAATGACTAGTAGCAGACCATGGCAACATAAAGTGAACAAGTTCCTCTGCCTCCTTCATACTGAGTCTAAGAATTATTTAAATCAAGTGCAGTGAGTGATTTTCTCTGGTATGGGACAGGAGGAATACTGCTCTGAGAGCCTACAGCAGAGGAAGTCTCCATGAACTTTCTGAAGAGATCTTGTACTTAGTTTTTCATTGTTCTTTGCTGTCTAGAAAGTGTTTTGGGAGAATTGAACAGACAACCTGCTTGTTCTTCTTTATTAAGGAGCCAGTGTTCAGGCTAGCCAGCTCTGGCTGACTGAAGGATCAGAGCGAGTCCTGCTGCCCTGTGCGGCTGGAGACACGTGGTGGCAGCTTACCCTTTCTCTGGGTCCTACCAGCAGGAAAGCCCAACCTCTTTTGAACTATTGCTGGCCAGGGAAAGGCTTGCTGTTCAGCTCTCTGGTCTGTCTGACTTGCTTGCTTATCTGGCTTGAAGTTTGTTCATGTATCTTATGCACAGAGAGTAAGGAGTACACTAATGCATGAAATAGTGAGGAACAGTGTTCTAAGAAGGAAGGCAGACAGTGGTGATCAGATACAGGGCTCAGTCAGACAAGCATATTGACCAGCAGTCTGCTTCTCACAATTGTTCCACGAAATTCCCACCTGTTCTCATGCTTGTGCTCCACCTTCACCTTGAGCCCTCCCTTTAATCCTGCCCTTAAAAGTCTCACAATGTCTTACAGATTGCCACAATCACCCCCTGAAATGGGAACCTCCCACAGTAAGTTTTAAATGCAAGCATTTACACATGAAAAAGGGGAGTAGGTTCTTCCTCACACATTCCATAATGTTTGCTCTTTTTTTATGAGACTCATTGTTGATAACCCACAATAATCCTGTTTTTTTTCTTATCAGTTACCAAGTTTCTGGTTGAACTCCTTCAAGGTTACACTCGGGTTCCTTTCATGGCCTGTTGATCAGTGTCTTATGAATTCCAGTCTTCGTTATTTTCTGTTATCTGCTGTTGGTTAGGGTTTGTGTATTTGTGTGTTTAATTTATTACCTCTCCTGTTCCTTACCTTGTCTTTCATGTTGAGTAGCTGTTAGGCAGATATCCTTATAGTTCCTTGCCCTGTTTGAGCATCCGTTTGAGAGGTGCTGGCTTGCACCTGGCAGTGCAGAGCCTGTCACAGCCAAGGCTGTGTTTCTGCAAGTCTTGGGTGGCCTTGGTTGAAAGAGACTGTCAGGGTATTGTGGTTTAACCCCAGCCAGCCATCAAACACCACGCAGTCACTCGCTCATTGCCCCACCAGTGGGATGGGGGAGAGAATCAGAAGGGTAAAAGAAACTCATGGGTTGAGATGAAGACAGTTTAATAGAGAAAGCCAAAGCCACACACACACAGGCAAAGCAAAACAAGGATTGATTCACTGTTTCCCATGGGCAGGAGGTGTTCAGCATCTCTAGGAGAGCAGGGCCCATCACGTGTAACAGTTCCTTGGGAAGACAAACACCATCACTCTAGATGTCCCTCCCTTCTTCCCACTTTATATACTGAGCATGATGTCGTATGGAATATCTCTCTGGTCAGTTTGGGTCACCTGTCCAAGCTGTGTCTCCCATGCACCCCCAACTTCCTTGCCAGTGTGGCAGTACAGAAGCAACAAAGGCCTTGGCTCTGTGTGAGCTCTGATCAGCAACAACAAAAACATCTGTATATTATCAACCCTGTGTTCTGCACAAATCCTAAACATAGCCCCATACTAGCTGATGTGAAGAAAGTTAACTCCACTTCAGCCCAAACCAGCACACAGGGCCATATGAAGTCTCTGCTATAATTTAGTCTTCTTGTGGGATGGTTGTCTCAAGCTTTTTTCAGCATAGTAATTTCAGTTCTCTGCTGTAACAATTGTGTCTCACAGTCTTTTTTATCTTTGCTTGGTGGTTGACTGGTTGGGTATTGTCATCACAAATTGAGTCTATTATGACAATATACTGCTCATGTTGTGAATGCCTAAGCATGTACTGTAAGTTTTAGAGTGAATACAGAATTTGTGTGGTATCATGGAATTCTTACCTCTTGCAAGATTTTGGGTAGATTAGACATAACACAGTGGTGGTTCAGCCATCTGGGAAGTGAAGTACTTGGTGCAAGTGCTTATTCCTTTCTTCAGATGTCACCCCAAGCCAAAAGGCAAAGAATGGCCACCATTGGAAAGTTGTGAGCAAGAGTTCTTGGTGCCTCTCCGGTTGCCTTCTGGCTATTAATAGCATTTCTGGACTTGCCTTATACTTAGGAAAGTCCATATTGGAAACATGAGGGAAAAAATAAGTTTATTGTTTTGTCATAAACATCTTATTGTGTCTTTCTTAATTGTTTTTGCTTTTTGGAGTACAATGTTTGCTTCAATGACTGGTTTGTTTCAGTTCTTGCTTATGTTACCATAGGAACATATACCAAATCACAGAAATATTGGGTAAGGCTTTTTATTTACCTTAGTCTATAGCAAGGCTTAAATCGTTATTTTGTAGAACTCTGAGATCATAGTGCGGACTTTTTATAAGATGTATATTTGTAAGTTTGATTATGAATAATCCAAAGGAAATCAAAAAGGTAGAATCATCATATGCTTTAATTACTTAGTAGCTCTCTCTATAAAAAACTTTCTTTTTCTCCATTGAGGTGAATCAAGTCCAACTCGTCGAGAAGCAGTGAAAAGGAAGACTGCAGAGTATCTAATGCGTGCTGAAAAAATTTCCAGTCTCTACCATAAATCCTCTGAAGATGTTTCTATGGTAGGCTTTCATTTATTGTTTTTTTCTGAGCTAGAATTTAGTATAATTAAATTGTTCTGTCTTTTAGCAAAGCATATTCAAGCTTGAGTTCAAAAGCTATCTAGTTTCTCTTTTGGGAGGCCTGAGGAGTATTTTGATGTTACATTTCTGTTAAGTTGCCATTCTTGTCTGATTCTTGTTGGCATTTCATAACATTATAAAGAGTGCTTGGATTAATATAGGGCTGGTTTTCACATGCTTTCCTTCTACTCATGGTTGGTGATGTAAACATTTTTCATTGTGCTAAAGAATCAAGTCAAGCATATGGCAGGGTGGATCAGATGGGGGTCAGATTAATTTTCCACAGAGCAGGTACTTAATTGACAAAAGTTCTTCCTGATCCTTTCAAATGTCTCTCTTGGATATGCTTGTGTGATCAGCTCCTTCTTGATTTTTGAGAAGTTTCTGAAGTAATTCTCACTTTCTTGAGCAGAAACACCCTTATCTGTAATAGTACAAAAGACAAAAAAAGCTTGTTCCAAGATACCCTCAATAAGTTTCTACTTTGCCCTTCCTTAAATAGTTCCTTTGGGACTTATCTGTTCTTACTTTAGACTTTTACTGCAGTCATGCTAAACTGTGTGTGATTGTCGCTGACTGCCCTATTGTAGTAAGTATAAAAGCTACCAACTTCCTGTCTCTCTACTTTAATATCAAGTGAGGACAAAAGGGGCAGAAGATTATTGCTTCTTACTTTGCACAGATCTAAAAATGCTTTAAGGAGACCACTGCTGCAGAAGTGGGAAGCCTTCTAAACTCTGGCTGTCTAATAAGTAAATGACAAAAGCAAAGACACTGATTTTTAAGGGTAGCTTTTTTATGTTGAGAGCCTACAAGTACAGTTTTGAGGATGTTCCAAATGGGATATATTTTGTGAGGTTTGGAGTCTTGCTGTTGCTGTGAATTGTACTTTGAACAATTTAGTGTTTTGGACTGATATGAACTCCTACTAGGTAGCCTTTCTTTGGGTCAAACACCCCTGAAAATGGGGAAGAATCTGTATTGAATGGAAAACTCAGTGTGTTTGGAAACTGCAGACAAGAGAAAAAACCCACGAACAACCTATTTTTGCCTTTTTATAAGTTTAAAAACTAATTGTGGTTGGGAAGGAGGAAGAAGTAGGTTGCATTTTTGTATGTGAACTTGAGAGGTAAAGTATTTCCCCTTTTATGCTGTACTGAATAAGACTCATGCCTTCCTTGCACTTCCAAAGAAAAGCAGATTTAATTGGGATAAGACAAGAAAAAAAAGTGGTGAGAATAGAAAACTGTTCTCCTTCTGTGCTGAAAATCAAAATTGACAAGTTATGGGAAATCTGACTTTGTACAAGCAAAATGTTGCACCTGGCTGATTCTCCTCTTTAAAAAAAGAAAAAAAGGCAAAAAAAAAGAGCCATGTTTCCATGATTTGGCTTTGCTTTTTCCCAAGTTTGTATGTGTATTTTAATGCTGTTTATTTACTGCTCTTCATAATGCAGAGTTTTGTCTTAGTGGTTTTGGAATTTGCTGACATGGAGGGCAGATGGTGTTGGTGGGTCATGATGGTTGTGGTGAGGAGCAGCTTGTCTCCAAGTTGATAGCTGAAAGTTATTTGGGAGAAGGACTGATCTTCCAAAGTTGCTCCAAGGGCAGTGGTAGGAACCACAAAGATTTGACATAGTCTGTGTTTTGACTTAGTGTCTTAAGGAATATGAGGAATGTGACTTTTCCTGCACATTGATTGCTGAGCAGACCTGAGTTATTGCACCTTAGGTACTGCTTATCCTTTGTGCTGCCCAAGATAGTTTATACTGGAGTTTGCATGGATTATTCCACCCCGTGCAGACAGTTATAAGTGAACTGAAATGACCTGTGTCTACATACTATGTGATTCTTGGGAGATACCAGTGGAAACATACAGATACTTTGTGTTGTTCTCCTGAGGAAATTAAGTGTGGAAGAAATACAAGGTTACTTCAGTACCTGGGCCCCTGTTACTCCTGGCAGAGTGCAGTTGTGTTATGAAAAGCATAATTCAGTGCAGGGAATGTCATGGGCAGTGGGGGGCAGACCACTTCATCCAATTTGCACCTTGGAGGAAGAGGTCTGACTAGTCAGCAAGCATGGGCTTTTAAGGCAAAGTGCTCTTGTTCATGATGTGAAGTTACAAGGCAGAAATGCTTTGTCACCCATGTCTGCTGTAGATGGCTTTGTGTTTGCTGTTGTGCCCTTATAAGGAACAATTGTGGTGATCAGCATCAGAACTAGGCTAACCTGTCCTTCTTAGACATGATGTTGTACTTCCTTCTCATCCACCAGGCCAGAGAAGCGCCTAGCAAGGGAAGAGGTAAGCTCAGAAGTGCAGGTTCAGTTATAGTCCTGCACTCCTCAGCCTCTCCTATCTCCCAAAGGCTCAGGCTGCCAGCTGTGTGCTGGGCCACATGCAATAGTCTCAAAAGACTATGCCCACTAAATGCACCCCATGCCACCCATTTGCCATGTGAACATCGTACTAAGGCAAAACACAGTGGCTTGCTTTGCTCTGGGGGCCTGGGGCAGGAGGGAACAAGCTGTTCTTTCATTGCTGGGAATGCCAGGCCCTTGCCTGTTGGAAAACCAGACGGGATAGAGCCATGAGTGCTAAGGAGAGCTGGTGGACATCATAGCTGGGTTGTTCACGATCGTCTTTGAAAGGTGATGGGGATCAGGGGAGGTGCCTGAGGGCTGGAAGGTAGCATAAGTCAACCCAGTCTTAAAAAAGGGTAAGAAGGAGGAGCCAGGGAACTACTGGCCAGTTAGCCTCACCTCAATCCCTGAAAAGGTGATGGAGCACCTCATTCTGAAGGGCATCTCTGCCCACATGGAAGACAAGAAGGTGATCAGGAGTAGGCAGCATGGGTTCACTAAAGGTAAATCGTGTTTGACCAACATGATTGCGTTCTACAATGCAGCAACTGCCTGGATGGATGAAGGGAGAGCAGTGGACATTGCCTACTTTGACTTCAGCAGGGCTTTTGACACTGTGCCCCCCAGCATCCTCATAGGCAAACTTAAGAAGTGTGGGTTGAATGAGTAGACTGTGAGGTGGATTGAGAACTGGCTGAACAGCATATCTCAGAGGGTTGTGGCTGATGGCACAGAGTCTAGTTGGAGGCCTGTCACTAGTGATGTCCCCCAGGGTTCCATACTGGGCTGAGTTTTGTTCCTCTTATGCATCAATGACGTGGACAAGGGGACAGAGTGCCTTTTCAGCAAGTTCACTGATGGTACAAAACTGGGAGGGGTTGCTGATACCTCAGCAGGCTGTGCTGCCCTTCCGAGGGACCTCAACAGGTTGGAGAGAAGGGCAGAGAGGGAACCACCTGAAATTCAACAAGGGCAAGTGCAGACTCCTGCACCTGGGGAGGAATAACCCTGAGTACTGGTACAGTTTGGGCACTGACCTGTTGGAAGTAGCTCTGTGAGGAAGGACCTAGCGGTCCTGGTGGATGACAAGCTGTCCACAAGCTGGAAATGTGCCCTTGTGGCCAAGAAGGCCAGTGGTGTCCTGGGATACATTAGAAAGTGCACTGCCAGCAGGTCGAGGGTAGTGATCCTGCCCTCTAGTCAGCCCTAGTGGGGCCACATCTGGGCTCCTCAGTACAAGAGGGACATGGAGCTCCTGGAGCAGGTCCAGCAGAGGGCAATGGAGATGATTAAGGGACTGGAGCACCTCACTTATGAGGAAAGGCTGAGAGAGTTGGGCCTGTTCAGCCTTGAGAACACAACTGAGAGGGGACCCCTCACCAATGTCTTAAAGTATCTGAAGCGGGGTTTTCAAGAGCATAGAGCCAGGCTCTTCTCTGTGGTGCAAACCTGTAAGACAAGAGGCAACAGGCAGAAACTGATGGACAGGAAGTTCCACCTGAATATGCACCTTATTGTGCAAGTCGCTGTGCGTGGGAATAGATTGCCCAGAGAGGTTGTGGATTCTCTCTCACTGGAGATATTCAAGAACTGTCTGGATGCAATCCTGTGCCATGTGCTCTAGGATGACTCTGCTTGAGCAGGGAGGTTGGACCAGATGACCTGCTGTGGTCCCTTCCAACCTGACTCCATTCTGTAATTTCTCTAGAGGCAAAGGTGTGGCATTTTCAGAGCTGAGAAGCAAAAAATTATCTTTGGTGCCATGGAAACCAAACAAAGAACAACAGTACTTTGTTAGTTTTCTTGCCACAACAAAAATTCAACAGTGTAGCCCTCAAGGATAGCATTCTTAGCAACCACCCTGATGCTTGGCACATGTAGGTGGTGAAGAGAGGAACACAAAAAGGGAATGTTTGGAGAATCTTTGGCACTGTTAAAAAGTGTTGTGGGTAGGAGGCTTAATGATGGATAGAAGATTTGTTAAGACTGAAAAGAAACACAGGGAACTGATGCAACTGTGACCATGAACTGGGAAGTCTCTTGACAAAGTCTTGTAAACATTGACAAAAGCCTTGCAGTGACCCAGAAGAGTAGATGTGGAGACAGCTTCTGGAGATTGTAAACAGGCATGTAGACCTTCTGGAAAAACAAGCTGCTGCAAATGCTGTCCTTTTCTTCCTCCTTTGGCACAGCATAGCAGCCTCAAGGACCTTTTCTTCAACAAATCATAGAATTATAGAATCGACTGGGTTGGAAAAGACC